AAATTGGTTAAGATATCTTGACAGACCTCGCCAGCAAGGGTAACACTTCTCATCGTGTCTTCTGGGCGTAGCGTCCATGGCAGATGATCAGCCCACCTAAACATCCAGTTCAGGTGACCCTGCTGTGAGCCTAATTCATGTAGACCAATTAAAGTCTTCTTAAACTTCGCATATGTAGGATGTGCCAGACCACTAGCATCCAAATGTTGGCTGGCATAACTTCCTTCTTTGATGTGACCGCGTACAAACGCCTTGCATTCATCATCGCCTGTTATTGAATGTTTTTCATTACATCTTCACATGACCTTATAAATGTGGTTACACGATAGTCATCCTCCGCCGTAAACTCACGAATGCGATCACTGGGTGGCAATACAAATGTTAGGTTGGTTAGATGACATGCTGGTATTAGATGTAGCCATGGTTAGTGAGTTGCTAGACAACTTAGAACTAACTGAAAGATACGTGGATGCAAGAGGGAACTAATCTGACACTGTGAGATTCTGAAGACTGAGAGGTATCCTGCCTGTAATCAGGTGTTGTATTGTATGTATTACCTGACCTTAGGGTTCCACGACATAAATCGTTATGCGATTGATCGCTGAAGTGTTCACTACTCTCAACAGAGGTGTCTCTCAGTGAGGGCGCTTGTGTTTCTTGCGAATCTATTAATTCTATGTGTTCAGTTTTTACACTAGTACCAGTGGCTAGTACAGTGTCAGTCTTGAGTGCCTACTTCAGAATTATCTGAAACGTTATCATAAATCTACTTCAAATTGGTAATATCGGAACTCATTAAATTAAAAAAATCATCCATCAGTGTTAAATAGACATGAAAAGTCAATCTACACAAAAACCTTGACTAGCCATTTACTGTAAATTTTTGAAAAATATCGTAATAATTGGCAAGAAAAAAAAAATACTGGTTCTAGAGAACTACAGTGTAGTTATATACTGTATATATCAAATAATAATAAGTAAGACACTTATAAATTTAACATTATCCTACACGACGTATCCTAACATGTGATGCTGTGCTGTAGCATATTTTAATGTGTTTAATATAGTGTGTCCTTGTCCTACCCATTACTGTTGGCTTGTAGAATTCTGGGAATTTCTTCAAAACCTGGCATTTAATCCTGTAGACTTCAGCGGCTTGGATGACAGTCAGCCGGTCGAGATTCACAGTCAGGGTTGCTGGTGTGTGGCTTCAAGATGACGTCCTTGAAGAATTCGTGATGGCGTCCGGTGTTGACGAGAGTAACCACGGTCAACCACTAGAGGGATGATGGATGGCGAACTCGATGAACTTGGAGTTCACTGGATTAGATTAGATTGCCCCCGAGGGGGCTAGTTTATTGGGCACCCCCTTACATCCTGTGCGAAGTGAAGCGCAGAATCGTTTACAGCGCCCAACTGGGAAGCATGCGGAGTTCATGCTTGCCTTTATGACTCATGCATTAAGGGAGTAAAAGCCTGAAGGGTCATGGGTTTTGTCAGCATGTTCCCGGTACAATTTATCTGTTTATGGCAAAGCGTGGCAGGACCCTAATAATGTCAAGTGCCAGGCCATAGGCATTGACAACATTGAGGGACATACCTTTTAGTATGAGTGTGATGGAGTGCACGTCGGTAGGGTCGGTTTCAAGGGGGTCGTCGAGAGGTTGGTAGGGGACGTGCTTCTTGGCGTAGATATGTAGTCCACTAGCATGTCCGCATGGTGGTCAATTGATGTGGAGAACTGGAGTGGATGGGCCCCAGGTGCCGGCATGCCGGTGGGGGACAGGGAGCCTGGGGTGGTGTCCTCGGGTCCATGAGCGCGTGGTGTGTGGACGGGGGCAGCTGGGCACGTGGCAGGCTCGGTGTGGACGCCAGCAGTGGTGCCAGGCGGCGGTGGAGTAGGCCGTGAGCAAGAGGGGCACACAGGGAGGCTACCAGGTTGCGTCAAACCAGAAGAGGGGGGTGACTGAGTAGCATCTGGAGGCAGGGGTAGTCTGTGTAGGTTGGAGATGGCGGTACAGAGCACAGTATCAAAGAATCTTTCAACACGGTTGGTAAATTCGTGTAAGAGGGATATGATCTATGTCATGTCACCGGAGGAGGGTTGTGGGGGGGCACAAGGCCTGACAGCATCAGAGTAGAGACGGAGAGAAGGCCCAGTTGTAGCTGAGTTAGGAAACGGCCGGGACTGCTGTGTTGCAGCTAGGTGAGGCCAGGCAGCGGCAGGTGTTGTTGAAGAAGGCGTTGCTGGAGACAGAGGGGACGCAGAGGGATGCGGCTCGGTAGGCTGGGGGAGAGGTTGAGATTGACGCAGCCTTCGGGGAGGCTTTTCTCTTGGGATAGACGGACGTTTGGGGCATTGTCGTGAGTCAGCATTGTGCCAGCCACCACAATTACAACACCTGGGGTCAACAACATAGCCCACACCACCCCCATTGAGGTGGTCTTTGATTTTTGGGGCACAGACGGAGGAGTGATGGTTACATGAACAGAAGCGACATCTGGGACGATCACATCGGCAGCAGGAGGTGAAGGTGTGACCCCAATGGGAGCAGATGACACAAAAAGCAGGCCCGGGGTGATATGGTTCAGTGTGGGGTCTTCCCTCGGTAGTGTCGACGTATACTGAGTATACGTGGATTAAAGTTACAAGTATCTTCGACTTCAGCGTATAGGGGGAACTGTTTAACTAGGATGTGGCAACATTCCGCTGCGTCAGCAGGTGGAGGCACGAGGACAACCCGGTCAAATCCAACAGTACTGAGCGTTTCATAGACCTTGGGTGTCTGACACTTGATAAAGTTACGGTTCTTATCTTTTTGGAATTGAATGGTGAGACTGCGTTGTCTCCAATACTTTGTTGTCCAATTAAACCGTTCCTCGACGGTTTTCAATAAGTCCTTGGGGAAGTGCAGATGCAATTTACTTGGTTGGTTGGCAGAGGGGCGGGTGGCGAGGGGAGAGCTGCCCTTGGCATTGGTGTTGCCACTCCGGCAAGTGTTTCCCATAGATGCACTATGACATCCGTCTCTGAAACTGTCCATGAGAGAGGGGACTCTTCTGGGGCGCTTATATGTCGACCTCATCGCTGGCAACACTTGCCGGCGAAGGGGTAGGTAGAGACTGAGGTGTCCTTTGTCTGACGATCGGGAGGACAGAAGCACCCATGGGCACACGTCTGTCCTCTTATGTGGTCAGACTGCGACTGGAGTTCACTGGTGTCGTCAGGCGATCCTGTGAGGACACATAGGTTAATGCACCTTGGAGCTGGTAGACCTCTTGGAGTTGATTGAGTATGACAGGTCAAGTAGTTGGCCTGTACCAGATGTAGCTGGTTCCACAAAGAATTTACAACACTCTGTTTTTACAAACCACAGAAACACTTAGTTAAACAACTTGGAATATCTAACAGGTATTTATCTCAACTGTGCCTTGGGCACAGAGTTGTACTGTTGATCTTTGAGAGGGGAAAAATGTACAGAGAGCGTCTCCATAACACTTGAGAGTTGGGGACAGTGTCTGAGATGTTGGAGTCTTTGTAGTGATGGGTACTCAATCAGCAGGCTAAAAGAATGTACTGGGCCACGTCCACTTGAGATGGGGACTCAAGTCATCGGCCTGTCGTCACAGGGTGTTGCCACTCTACAGTGAATTATTGTTAACTCACTTATTAAATGTTATTGAGAATTTTTTTTTGTATGTTGTTCTGGGATTACATTTAAATATATCACTTGACATATAACGTTGCTCACGAGAATATACAGTATACGGTATATAGTCTGTTGCCTTGGAGAATGACACTTGGAAAATTTCACTGATACTTGGGTTACAGTGACGTCGGTTCCTTGCACAGTTAGTTACACTGCTTCACTGGTTCAGTTAATGGTTCTATCTTTTCGCTTTGGGTGAGTTCCAACTGCTATATATAAAATTGAGGGGTTAGTTACAAACCCCAAATGGTCTTTTCTCCATTTATTGGTAAAACTATTGTGGTCAGATCTATTAGTAGATGCACCGTAATTAACTTAAGCTGTGAGTGTGCTAATGGACGGGGCTCAGCTTGACTGAGTTAGGTCACCCGTCCTATTCTCGTGAGCTTCAAGTCAAGACTGGTGCCTGTGAGAGGAGCTCTGAAGGAGATACTGGGCTTTCATTCTCAAGGTCGGCATACTGTATTAACCCAAATTTATGTAATTGTTATTGCCATGATGTCATGATCGTAATAACGGCTAGGCTGTTAAACTTAAGGATTCATATTACGCTTACACATCCACAAAACCTTCTGAGTCCCCCAGTGAAAACGTCCTCCGCTTTCTCTGTTTCTTTGATGACGTCATCGAGATGTCGTCATTGTCTAACCGAGTTGTAAACTGTTCCTGCTACCGAGACCTTGTAAACCCTTTTTCACCATGAGACGGGCTAATACATGATTCATCCAGGTCATAGTTATCCAGGTCACATTTGAGTCATCCACATCACACTTGAGACCTCCAGGTCACACTAGAATCATCCAGGTCAGCCTAGGTCATCCAGGTCATAAGCGAGTCTTCCAGGTCATATTTAAGTCAACCGGGTCATCCAGGTCACCGCAGTCCTCCAGGTCACCTTAGTCCTCCAGGTCACATTAGAGTAATCCAGGTCATAAGTGAATCATCCAGGTCACATTTAAGTCATCCAAGTCATAAGTCAGTCACCCAGGTCACATTTAAGTCATCCAGGTCATAAGTCAGTCACCCAGGTCACATTTGAGTCATCCAGGTCACATTTGAGTCATCCAGGTCACACTTGAGTCATCCAAGTCATAAATAAGTCATCCAGGTCACAATTGAATCATCCGGGTCACAATTGAGTCATCCGGTCACATTTGAGTCATCCAGGTCATAATTGAGTCGTCCAGGTCATAATTGAGTCATCCAGGTCACATTTGAGTCGTCCAGGTCATTTTGTGTCGTACAGGTCACACTAGCGTCATCCAGATTATAATTTAGTCATTGTTTCAGGTTCCCTAAGATGAAGTCTCCTTCCATGGTCGTGACGAATTACGATAGTGACGGCGCCATCTTGCAGTACCGCTCCTGTCGCCCCGGCCTCTCTCACTACCTCGTAGGTGAGTCACTGAGTCGTAGGTGAGTCATTGAGTCGTAGGTGAGTCAATGGGTCTTTGGTGAGTCCTATACCCCGTGAGTTTTAGGTGAGTCCTGTACCCTGTCACTGAGTCTTAGATGAGTCCTGTACCCCGTCACTGACTCGTAATGTTACACTAACTCAGGAGATACAGAGATGAGAGTTACAGAGACGGGAAGGAAGTTACAGACAAAAACAGAAGCGGAAATTACAGAGATTCAAAGACATGGACAAAGGTTCAGAGACAGGCAGAGATGTGGACATAAGTTACAGAACCAGAGTTGACACAGACAAACTCAGAGGAACAGTAAATGGATAAAGTAAGTTTTAAGCGACATCGAGGTAAAGAATACATAGGAAATATTCAATGATTTTCTCTTAAACTTATGACTCAGAGTACAGTCGCCTGCACTTATACCTGGTACAGTGGCGACGTGTTTTTGTGAGATGTGGCACCTATGTTTTTGTTTACATCATATATTAAAACTCTCAGAATGGCCCTAAGGAACTTCACTATAGTAGCAAGACTAAGGATGATTGATAAACCTTCCACATAGTTACCACGTCTCACAAAACACACCAGCCAATGTACCAGGCATAAAGTGTAAGCAACTGTACAACTAGCCAACCACATGAGCTGACTTTAGGATCTACTCGACTTAATGGTAATGTATCTCGTGTTTATTTATTATTTCCTTGTTAATATCTTTTTATTTATCTATCTGTATCTGAATGATTCTTGTGAGTATTTAAGGTTCAATTTAGAGAGTTTTAAAGTTGATTTTAGAACCAGCGAGAAAGGGGGAATGAAAGATAAGAGAGAGGGTAAGAGAGAGAAACAGAGGGAGAGAGACAAACAGAGAGAAAGACACACACACACACACACACACACACACACACACACACACACACACACACACACACACACACACACACACACACACACACACACACACACACACACACACACCTCCCCTATCCCACTCTAAGTTCATAAAATAAACTATGAAAAAGATGATTGGTTGAGATTACCTGATGTGAGGAATGACGTCACCCGCATCTGTTGGCGAAGATGTGGGATTCGACCTGATGTGATGTTGATGTCCAGAGGCGAGGGAAACATGGGAATAGTGGGAGTGTATGTGTGTCCTGTGTCTCCTCCTGTGTCCTTCCGTCTCCCTTTCTTATCCTTCTGTTATTCTCTCTATTAGAATGATAAAGTATTAGGAAGTCTGATCATGATGATGGAAGGATCAATAATGCATTTATTATGGACCTCATTAACTAACCTTCTCTCCCTCCCTACCTCCTTACCTCCATCCACCCATTCCCTCTCTCCCTCCACCCATTCCCTCTCCCTCTTCCCTCCCTCCCTCCCCTCCTCCCTCCCCTCCTCCCTCCCTCCCTCCCTCCCTCCTCCCTCCCTCCCTCCTCCCCCCATCCCCCTACTGCCTGCGTGTATCACAGGTCAACTTCTGCAGATCGCCACATGACTTCTACAGGATGACCTCGATGTGGAGATCTTGCAGAGACACACAGAGACACCACCTTCTGCACCACCCTCAGGTAATGCTCACAGTTCCTCTCACAACACTCCCTGCCTCTCTCCTCTCACAACTCTCCTGCCTCCTCTTTCTCACACCTCTGCCCTCTTCCCCACAACACTCCTGCCTCTCACCTCCCTCTCACAACTCTCCTGCCCTCACAACACTCCCCCTGCCCTCATTCCCTCCCTCACAACACTCCCTGCCCTCATTCCCCTCAACCTCCTGCCTCCTCACTCTCCCTCCACACACCCCCTGCCTCCTCACCTCCCTCTCACAACACTCCCCTGCCCTCACTCTCCTCTCCACCTCCTCCCTGCCTCTCACCTCTCTCCAACCTCCTGCCTCTCACTCTCCCTCACAACTCTCCTGCCTCTCCCTCTCCTCCCCACACCTCCCTGCCCCATTCCCCTCCTCCCACCCCTGCCTCACTCCTCTCACAACACTCTGCCTCTCTCCTCCCTCCTCACACTCTCTCTGCCCTCACTCCTCCTCACAACACTCCCTGCCTCACCTCTCCTCTCCACTCCCTGCCTCTCCTCTCCTCTCACAACACTCCCTGCCCTCACTTCCCTCACAACCTCCCTGCCTCTCACTCTCCTCTCACAACACCCCTGCTCCCTCACTCTCTCACACACCTCCCTGCCTCTCACTCTCTCTCACAACCTCCCGTCCTCTCCCTCTCCTCACCTCTCCTGCCTCTCTCCTCTCCAACACCTCCCTGCCTCTCATTCCCCTTCACAACACCCTGCCCTCACCTCCCTCCTCACAACACTCCCCTGCCTCCTCACCTCCTCTCACAACCTCCCTGCCTCACTCTCCCTCCTGCCCTGCCCTCATTCTCACAACACTCCCTGCCTCTCACCCCCTCCTCACAACCTCCTTGCCTCACTCTCTCACACCTCCCCTGCCCCCTCACCTCTCCCTCTCCTCCCCTGCCCCTCATCTCCTCCCTCTCATAACACCCCCGCCCTCCTCACCTCCTCTCACAACCTCCCTGCCTCACTCTCCTCCTCTCACAACACCCCCTGCCCCCTCCCCCCCTCTCACACACCCCTGCCTCTCACCTCCTCTCCAACTCCTGCCTCTCCTCTCTCACAACCTCCCTGCCTCTCATTCCCCTCTCCCCTCCTGCCTCCCTCCTCTCCCACCCCCCCGCCTCTCACCTCCTCCTCACAACATCCCCTGCCTCCTCCCCTCTCACAACATTCCCTGACCTCACCTCCCTCTCACAACACTCCCTGCCTCACCTCCCTCTCACAACACTCCCTGCCTCCCTCACTCTCCTCTCACAACACTCCTGCCTCTCATTCCCCCCACAACACTCCCTGCCTCCTCACCTCCTCTCACAACACTCCTGCCTCTCTCTCCCCCCCACAACTCTCCCCTGCTCTCATTCACCTCCCCACCCTCCCTGCCTCTCACTCCCCTCTCACAACTCTCCTGCCTCTCACTCCACTCTCACATCGCCTCTGCCCTCACCTCACAGACCTCCCACCTCCCCCTTCAACTCCCTACCCCTCTCAACTCCTACCCCTCTCAACTCCCTACCCCCTCTCAACTCACACCTCACCCACCTCCATAGTTGTTTTAGTTAATACTCGTAAGAACTCCCCCTCGTGTACAGTGTAATTATCGGTGTTATTATTGTGTAGTGCCATGATGTAACCTGGATGTTGAGACTGTAGGGGGTGACACTGACTGTGGCACCCCTGAACTGGCACTGACTGTACCAACTGACACTGACTCGCCCAATTGACACTAACTGTACTGACACTTGACTTTACCAACTGACACTAACTGTACTAACTGACACTGGACTGTACTAACTGACACTGACTGTACTGACACAAACTGTACTAACTGACACTAACTGTACTAACTGACACTTGACTGTACCAACTGACACTAACTGTACTAACTGATACTAACTGTACTAACTGACACTTTACTGTATCAACTGACACTAACTGTACTAACTGACACTGACTGTACTAACTGATACTAACTGTACTAACTGACACTTGACTGTACCAACTGACACTAACTGTACTAACTGATACTAACTGTACTAACTGACACTTTACTGTATCAACTGACACTGACTGTACTAACTGACACTGACTGTACTAACTGACACAAACTGTACTAACTGACACACTAACTGTACTAACTGACACTGACTGTACTAACTGACACTGACTGTACTAACTGACACAAACTGTACTAACTGACACCAACTGTACTAACTGACACTGACTGTACCAACTGACACTTGACTGTACCAACTGACACTGACTGTACTAACTGACACTGACTGTACTAACTGACACAAACTGTACACCGACACTAACTGTACTAACTAACACTTGACTGTACCAATGACACTGACCGTACCAACGACACTGACTGAAACTGACAATGACTGTACTAACTGACACAAACTGTACTAACTGACACTAACTGTACTAACTAACACTTGACTGTACCAACTGACACTAACTGTACTAACTGATACTAACTGTACTAACTGACACTTTACTGTATCAACTGACACTGACTGTACTAACTGACACTGACTGTATTAACTGACACAAACTGTACTAACTGACACTAACTGTACTAACTGACACTGACTGCCTAACTGACACTGACTGTACTAACTGACACAAACTGTACTAACTGACACTAACTGTACTAACTGATACTAACTGTACTAACTGACACTTTACTGTATCAACTGACACTGACTGTACTAACTGACACTGACTGTACTAACTGACACAAACCGTACTAACTGACACTAACTGTACTAACTGACACTGACTGTACTAACTGACACTGACTGTACTAACTGACACTAACTGTACCTAACTGACACTAACTGTACTAACTGACACTCGACTGTGCTAACTGACACAAACTGTACTAACTGACACTTGACTGTACCAACTGACACTGACTGTACTAACTGACACTGACTGTACTAACTGATACTAACTGTACTAACTGACACTCTGACTGTACCAACTGACACTGACTGTACTAACTGACACTGACTGTACCAACTGACACTAACTGTACTAACTGACACTAACTGTACTAACTAACACTTGACTGTACCAACTGACACTAACTCTACTAACTGACACTAACTGTACTTAACTGACACCTAACTGTACTAACACTTGGACTGTACCAACTGACACTAACTCTACTAACTGACACTAATCAATTAACTGACACTGACTGAATAACTGACACTAACTGTACTAACTGACACTTGACTGTACCAATGATACTAACTGTACTTAACTGACACTTGACTGTACCAACTGACACTTGACTGTACCAACTGACACTAACTGTACTAACGACACTGACTGTACTAACTGACACTTGACTGTACCAACTGATACTAACTGTACTAACTGACACTGAATGTACCAACTGATACTAACTGTACTAACTGATACTAACTGTACTAACTGACACTTGACTGTACTAACTGACACTATCTGTACTAACTGACACTTATAACAAGACGGGATCTTGCAAGAAGAAGATTACATATAGTTCGAATATTGATAGTATAAGAGTATAAAAGAGAGAAGATTTTGGTGGTGACCGTGATAGTTATTTACACTTATCGTATCTTATACGTCAATACACATCTATTACGTCTTAAAGGCGACTAAACACCGCTTCGTTACAACTCTTTATATGAACATGACATGGACACATTAATAACACCTTCTATTGAAGTTACTAGGACATTATATTTACGTTTAGGACATCATATTATGTTACTAGACACTGATTCTGGACACGAACATGAAATGAATACACTTCCCACATAAGTAACTCATCCCATGGAAAGCTCTGACAAACACTCACGTGACCTAGGGAAGGCCTGGGAGACTGCTTAGCGGGGACACTGGTGTGGGAGGGCGACTGCTTAGCTGGGACACTGGTGTCGGGAGGGCGACTGCTTAGCTGGGACACGGAGGGAAGTCGGGAGAATTCTGCATGACTCTCCTGAGCGACTCGGCTGTGGTGGACCTCCTCCCGATCCCTGTGTGTCTCTGACTTAAATTCTGAGGAGGACTAGGACGCCCTATATATTATGTCATGGTTCAGCTGGTCGGGTGGGGCGAAGGGTCTCTTACATTTGACTCCAATGGAGGTCAGGTCTGACCTTTTCAGAAACTATAAGTTTTATCTTCAAAGTCATCAGGTGGGGCCGTGGTATATTGGGAGAGAGCGGCCGGTGCCCCCTTACATGTGTGACATGGAGGAGCCTGGCTGATTTACAACTTGGTCAACCGTGAGAGTTACCCTACACTTGACCTCCCTAATGTCAGGTCAAGTCTGACTGTTTCAGAGACTATAAGTTATATCTTCTGGAGAAGTCATCAGGTGGGTGCGAGTTCCTTCACACTTGACCTCCCTAATGTCGGGTCAGACTGGAGTTTTGAGATATAAGCTGTGGTCTGACAACCCATCACTACACACTTGACTGTACTAACTGACACTTGACTGTACCAACTGACACTAACTGTACCAACTGACACTAACTGTACTAACTGACACTTGACTGTACCAACTGACACTAACTGTACCAACCGACACTAACTGTACTAACTGACACTTGACTGTACCAACTGACACTAACTGTACTAACTGACACCTGACTGGTACCAACTGACACTAACTGTACTAACTGACACTGACTGTACCAACTGATACTAACTGTACTAACTGATACTAACTGTACTAACTGACACTTGACTGTACCAACTGACACTAACTGTACTAACTGACACTCTGACTGTACCAACTGACACTAACTGTACTAACTGACACTTGACTGTACCAACTGACACTAACTGTACTAACTGACACTTGACTGTACCAACTGACACTAACTGTACAACTCGACACTTGACTGTACCAACTGACACTAACTGCACCAACTGACACTAACTGTACTAACTGACACTCTGACTGTACCAACTGACACTCAACTGTACCAACTGACACTAACTGTACTAACTGACACTTGACTGTACCAACTGACACTAACTGTACTAACTGACACTTGACTGTACCAACTGACACTAACTGTACTAACTGACACTACCGTACCAACTGATACTCAACTGTACTAACTGATACTAACTGTACTAACTGACACTTGACTGTACCAACTGACACTAACTGCACTAACTGACACTGACTGTACCAACTGACACTAACTGTACTAACTGACACTTGACTGTACCAACTGACACTCAACTGACACTAACTGTACTAATCGACACTTGACTGTACCAACTGACACTTGACTGTACCAACTGACACTAACTGTGATATTAAACACAATTTGGTACTTCAAAAAACAAACTAAAAAGTGTTGTTGTTTTTTTATCGTTTTCCGCTCGGTCCTGAAAAATATTTACCTTTTGTTATGTAATATATGAACCTATTAAATACTCCCATATGTAACCTTCTCATGAATCATGTTATATTATGTTAGGTTAGGTTAGGTTAGGTGAGGTGAGGTGAGGTTAGGTTAGGTTAGGTTAGGTTAGGTAGTTAGGTTAGGTTAGGTTAGGTTAGGTTAGGTTAAATTACATTAGGTTAGGTTAGGTTAGGTTAGGTTAGATTAGTTAATCACCTCAAATAAATTACTCAGTACATTATTAAAATCTTGGCTTGATTCATTATTCATCACACCCTCTTTTATGACCCCCCACCGTCATTAGCCCCTTAATTACCACCTCTCCTGTAATGACCTTAACAACCGCTCGTTACGAAATCATCAGAAAATTCAAGCAATTATCACTAATAACTCAGTTTAAATCTTTAATATAATTTGCCTCATAATTGTGTTTCATTATTAAGTTTTGTATTGTTTTAACGATAGTATACATAATTTGGGGGACCCGAACCTATGTTAGTCACTCCATCAAATCCACCCTACCCCACCCTTTGTACCCCACCTCCACCCTGGCACCCACCCCACTCCCACCCTGGTACCCCACCCACCCCTTGTACCCCACCCCACTTACCCCACCCCACTCCCTACCCTGGTACCCCACCCCCCCCACCCTTGTTCCCCTACCCCTACCCCTACTCCCTACCCTTTACCCTTTTGTAATTCTCTACCCACTTCTACCCTACCTCACCCTGGCACCCTACCCTACCCTTTGTAATTCTCACTCCCTACTCCTTTGTAATTCTCCTAATTCTACCCTAATTTTGTTCTCAATTCTAATTTCTAATGTCTCCTCTAATTCTACCTTTTACCTTAATCTTTGACTCCAGCCAATGCAGGTCACCACAGACAAAAAACTTATGAGCAATACTGTGTTACTGATATCAGATTTAATCAAATGTTACTAGTTGTGCTTACTTCAGGTGTTACTGGGTGGTATTAAGTATTATCAAGTAAGTTACCAGGTGTTATTAAATGTTATCAAGTGTTTCAAAAAGAAGATGTTAATAGCATTGTTGTGGTGTTATAGAGAGTTATCAAGGTTATCAGGCTAATGGTGGAAGCCTACTTGTGAAGCTTCCAATGGTGAAGTTTTAATGAAACCTTCCTGTCTCACAGACTGAATCAAACAAACTGAGGCCTGCACTGGGAGATGCGTCAGAAAGCCACAGGGCTTCAACAGACCCACCTTACCTAGCTTCTCCGTGGGCAAGCAGCACGCTCCCTCCACACACTTGTCCTCCCCCCCCCTCCCACACTCCGTCCTTCCCTCTCCACACTCCAGTCCCTTCCCCCTCCCACACCCCGCCCCACACCTGTCCTTCCCTCCACACCTGTGTTCCCTCTACACCTGTGTTTCCTACACACCTGTGTTCCCTCCACACTTGTCCTTCCCTCCACACCTGTGCTTCCCTCCACACCTGTGTTCCCTCCACACCTGTGTTCCCTCCACACTTGTCCTTCCCTCCACACCTGTGCTTCCCTCCACACCTGTGTTCCCTCCACACCTGTGTTCCCTCCACACCTGTCCTTCCCTCCACACCTGTCTTCCCTCCACTAAATTCAACTGTAGGCTCCAAAAGTCTCCCAGAGGCTAACGTTGAAAGCAGTAGGTCATCAGAGCTCACCAGAACCTCCAGAGAATGAAAGAACCTTATTAGAACCCACAATAGAACCTCTGGTTGTAGGCAGGAGGCCATGTGTTGTGAGGTGAACCCCCGACAAAACCCTTGACTGGTTCATTATTGTTGTGCCTTTGATGTGAGACAGACGAGTGTGCCTCACGCCTCAGTCCTCACCATTCCTCACCTCTCATTGCATTCCTCACTTCTCACTCCTTACTCCCCACCCTCACCCCTCCCTCTAACTCCCCACCCTCACCCCTCCCTCCTAACTCCTCACCTTTGCCCCTCACACCCCTCACCCCTACCCTCCCTCACCCCTGTCCCTCACACCCCCACCCCTATTCTCACCCCTGGCCCTCACAGTCCCCACCCCACCTGCCCCTCACACCCCACCTCACCCTCACACCTCACCCCCACACCTGTCCCTCACACCCCACCCCTCACACTCCTCAACCCCTCACCTTGCCCTCACACCCCACCCCTCACCTCACACTCCTCACCTCACTCTTGCCCTCACACCATACCCCACCCTCACCCCTTGCCCCCACCTCACCCCCACCTTGCCCCCTCACACCCTACCCTCACGTCTCACCCTCAGTCTCACCCCCCACCTGCCCTCACACCCCACCACGCTCCCACCCTTGCCCCTCACCCCACTCTTGCCCCTCACACCCTACCTCACTCCTCACCCTGCCCCTCACACCCCCCTACTCTGCCCCCTCACACCCCTACCCCACCAGCAATCTTACCCACCTGCCTGCCCTACATGGCGTGATCTCATCCTCCTCCTGCCCATACCAAGTGATTCTCAAAGGCCTCTTAAATTGGGGTGTCTGTAGCATGGTTCTCTCTCTCTCTCTCTCTCTTCTCTTTTCACTTTTTAATCAATATTCTTTCTTTTCTTTTATCTCTTTCTTATTTCAAATTTTTCTCAATTTTTTACTTTTTTCAGGTGATGAAGGTAGACAGAGAAACAGACGTAATAATAATAGAGACAGGCAGAATTAAAGAGACAGGGAGAGACAGGCAGACAGACAATCAACTAGAGACAGACGGAATTAAAGAGATTGAGAGAGAGACAGACAGAATTAAAGAGACAGGGAGAGACCGGCAGACAGACAATCAACTAGAGACAGACAGAATTAAAGAGACAGGGAGAGACAGGCAGACAGACAATCAACTAGAGACAGACGGAATTAAAGAGAGAGAGAGACAGACAGAATTAAAGAGACAGGGAGAGACAGGCAGACAGACAATCAACTAGAGACAGACGGAATTAAAGAGAGAGAGAGACAGACAGAATTAAAGAGACAGGGAGAGACAGGCAGACAGACAATCAACTAGAGACAGACGGAATTAAAGAGAGAGAGAGAGACAAAGCAGACAGACATTCAACTAGAGACAGACGGAATTAAAGAGAGAGAGACAGACAGAATTAAAGAGGAGAGAGAGACAGACAGAATTGAAGAGACAGGAAGAGACAGGCAGACAGACAATCAACTAGAGACAGACAGAATTAAAGAGACAGGGAGAGACAGGCAGACAGACAATCAACTAGAGACAGACGGAATTAAAGAGAGAGAGAGAGACAGAGAGAATTAAAGAGAGAGAGAGACAGACAGAATTAAAGAGACAGGGAGAGACAGGCAGACAGACAATCAACCAGAGAGAGAGAGAGAGAGAGAGAGAGAGAGAGAGAGAGAGAATGATTAAAGTGAAAAGAAAGTAAAATATGAGAAAAATTTGAAATAAGAAAGAAAGAAAGAAAGAAAGAAAAGAGAGACAGATAGAGAGAATTCAAAGTATTATTAATGAAAACAAAAAACAAACAAATGTATGTATAGAAGATTTACGTGCAGTACATACAGATAGAGTTACCCACAGTTACCCACACTAACCCACAATAACCTATACTAGCCCACACTAATCGACAATAACCCACACTAACCCACAGTAATCCACAAAAGCCCACAGCATACCACACTAATCGACAATACCTCACACTAACCCACAGCAACCCACACTCATCAACAATAACTCACACTATCCACCAATAACCCACAAAGACCCACACTAGCCCACACAAATCGTCAATAACCCAAACTAACCCACACTGACGTCTCTATTTCACCCACAGTTTCTTCTCTTCCCCTTCGGCATCGTCCTCGACCCGGATCTGAAAGTACGGTTCGCCGGGGAGCGCATCCTGCACCTACTGGGGAAGGAGCTGCTGGGGTCAGAGTTTGTGGAGTACTTCAGTATTCAGCGACCTCACGTGACCCTATCCTGGGATTCGGTAAGTAAAGGAGGTGTAGGTGTGTGTGTGTGTGTGTGTGTGTGTGTGTGTGTGTGTGTGTGTGTGTGTGTGTGTGTGAGAGAGAGAGAGATTGATTCTGACTTTCACTATCACCACTACACCCTACCACCACCACATACTACCACCACACAACATTCCATACCATACCACACCATCACCCCACCACCCCACACCACTACCCTACCCCACACCACCACACTACCCCACACCACCACACTACCCCACACCACCACACTACCCCACATCACCAACCTACACCACCACTCTACACTATCTCACCACCACACCACACCACAATCACGTGACCCTTTATTACACTACACCACCACCACAAAAGAACATAAGAAGAACCTAAGAAAATAAGGAATCTGCAATAGGCCGGTTGGCCTGTGCATGGCAGCTCCTGTCGAGAGTTACTACCACTCTCTATCATCCATGAATCTACATAGCCTCCTTTTGAAACTTTCCAGAGTTCCAGCACTTACTACAAAGTTTCTAAGCTTGTTCCACTCGTCCACCACCCTATTTGTGAACCAGTTCCTTCCTATCTCCCTCCTAAACCTAAACTTATCCAACACACAACTACCACACCACACCACCATCATATGACCCCACACCACACCACACCACACCACACCACCACTAACTCCATGTATTCACCTTGCAGATCACGAAGCTCCAGAACGTGACGTGGGAGGTAGTGTCCAAGAAGTTGCCCCTACGTGACACCCACCCAGGTAACGTGGGGACGGGAAGCACGCCAGGTAGTGCAGGTGCGGGAACCAAGGCAACAAGCCTCGTCAGTGTCAGAGACAAGTGAGCTAATTACCTAACCTAACCTGACCTATCCTGACCTAACCTAACCTAACCTAACCTAACCTAACCTTCCGTGATTGAGTAAAATTATCTGCCACCTGTTGTTACATTAGGCTAGTTATACAATGTCATATAACATTGGTTTCTGCTGCCCAATTTCATCTCTGAGGGTTGGCTACCACATCCCTCCACTTCAAGCGATATCGGGCTGGGCTGTGATGGCCAACCTTCTCAACCAGCACATGTCTCCAGGGATCACAGCTTTTAATTTAACTCTCCGCTTCTTGTCTCTTGTCTTCCCGTAACCATAATTGTACTCATTAATATCTCTACCAATATCCCCTCATCCCTAATTGTATGATCAAAGCCTTTCATCTTTTGTCTTCCATAATTATTGCCAGAAGTTTACTTTTGACTAAATAAGATCTCAGTAATTATTTATTGTTGTTTATTAGTATGATTTATATTTAATATATTGCACTCCTGTAGAACAACCATGAGTAATAATAATAATAATAATAATAATAATAATAATAATAATGATTACAATAACACATCAGAGAATCAACCAACTTACAACAATAACACCTAACCTAACCTAACCATCTCTCCTCACCTGACAGTCCCATTAGGCGAGGGTCCAGCCAGGCGCCGTGGGCCTCCCAAGAGTCGTCCCTACAGAGCATCCGAGGCTTACTGCTGAAGGGACAGATGTACATCATAAAGGACTCCAACGTCGCCCTCTTCCTGTGTATGCCGCTGTGAGTACTACCCCTTTCCTGTGTCTAGGAGCGGCCAGGTATATACTGTCACGTGCCTGAGCGCTCGGGAACTCGCATAGCGTGAGGCATATGTTCACGCCTACATTTCACACAAGCTATTAACTTGTTAATTGTACTTATTATATTATTATTGTTCTTAGTTACTTAGGTTAATTGTATATTTATGTATGTTATTAATATGCATCATTGTCTTACTCTGTTAAGTCAAATCAAGAGTAGTATTAATTAATCATATAAACTATCTAGCAAATGTCCTGGATCACGTGATATGAGACGCGCTTCTCCACCACGTGGGCACGCTTCTCCAGTAGCGAAAAACCGTCGCATATGGTAGACGTGTCCATTCGTTCTCTAGCCTTGACCCTTGTCTAGTGCCTTGTCCAGTCTTCTGCAATGCCCTAGGGGTATCAGGTATTAGTGAAACGTTTAGTTAGGCCTAGGAAAGGATCCTGGTGGTAAGGAATCTCCTGTTTGAT